CTTTTGTTACCCAGGCTGGAGTGCAATGGCACGATCTCGGCTCACCGCAACCTCCGCCTCCTGGGTTCAGGCAATTCTCCTGCCTCAGCCTCCTGAGTAGCTGGGATTACAGGCATGTGTCACCATGCCCAGCTAATTTTTTGTAGTTTTAGTAGAGACGGGGTTTCACCGTGTTGACCAGGATGGTCTCGATCTCTTGACCTCGTGTTCCACCCGCCTCGGCCTCCCAAAGTGCTGGGATTACAGGCGTGAGCCACCGTGCCCGGCCATCACTCCTTCTCTCTAATGTGCTATTCTAATCTCCTGTCTTTCCATCTTTAAAATGTTTTCAAAATTTTGTAATGCATGGGTTTGCAGTTTCAGGAATTAGTGACATTCACGGATGTGGCCATAGACTTCTCTCGGCAGGAGTGGGAATACCTGGACCCTCATCAGAGGGACTTATACAGGGATGTGATGTTGGAGAACTATAGAAACCTGGTCTCACTGGGTAAGTTTATTTGTCTCAAGTAATTTAAAATGTGATCTGTGATTTTTTACCTTTCAACACAGTGAATTTCAAGGCTGTATTTTGAGACATAGTTGAATTTCTTCTTCCTGTTCTTAGAGAAAGGTTTCAGCTCTGCCAGTTTGACAATGGCTGTGCCACCAAGCACCATCATTTCCTTCATCCTTTAGAGATAGTCACATGTCCTCCTGCCCCTTATGACTGCCTAATATCCAAGGGGCTTGTTTAAAATTATGTATTATTATTATGAAATTATGTATTATTAGTCCGCGAATAACCATTTCCAGGAATCCTGGTTTCCTATGGCGTATATTTCTAAAATTCCTACAGATATGCTTTGTCATCATCTGATCCACCTGCAGGGACAACAGACGCAGATTCATGATTTACTCTGAGTATAAAAAACCCTGTGACTTATATAGTGCTGGACCGGATGAATAATATTCATTGAAAACTGAAGAGTCCACATTTCATTTCCTGTAGCCAATTTGTATGATTTCTTGTTGAAAGTTATAATTGATGAGCTTTTCATTGCGTTTAAATGAAGATTTTATATATCAGTCGGGATGCTTTTTTTTTTTCTCTCATACAGAAATAATAAAATAATTAATTTGGTACAATTGTGCTCATTATGTCCCCAGCCACTCTTTGGAGGAGAGGGGAATATATATATATATAATAACTTAATACTCAAAGAACTATGTGATAGTTTTATTGTGATTATCTTATTTATTTATTTTTTCAAGACTGGGTCTTGCACTGTTGCCTAGGCTGGAGTGCAGTGGTGCAGCCATGGCTCACTGTAGCCTTGACCTCCTGGGCTCAAGTGATCCTCCTTCCTCAGCCTCCTGAGTGGCTGGGACTACAGAATACACCACCATACCTGGCTTTTTTTTTTTTTTTAAATAGAGATGAGGTCTCACTGTGTTACCCAGGTTGGTCTCAAACTCCTGGTCTCAAGTGATCCTCCCACCTCGACCTTCCAAAATGCTGGGATTACAGGCGTGAGCCACTGCACCTAGCCAATAGCAGTATCATTATGACCAGTTTATTTGTCAAATTGGAATAATGAGTTGAAGTCACATGGCCAAAGTCACAAGGTTGGTAGATTTAAGAGGAAGAATTTGTGACCCAGCCTCTGGCTCCAGAGAACTTCACAGCTTCTTTGGGGTGGTAATGTTTGGAAAGAGACATTTTATAAGGTCACAGGTTAAACTTTCTCCTAAGAAGCGAAGTGTGTATGAGTTTACATTAAAATAGGTTTTACTGTACCTACTTCATTTCTTCAATCATCTCACCCCTCTTTTATTTGAGGTCCTTAGTTCATTGTAAATTTAACCAAAGCTCAAAGATTTCTTTGGCTTTTGTTTTTATTTTTATACGATGTGGCATTTCTTTTCTTATAAGGAGGACATTCCATTTCTAAGCCAGTTTTGGTTGACTTACTGGAGCAAGGAAAAGAGCCCTGGATGATTTTGAGGGAAGAAACACAGTTCCCAGGTAAGGAAGGCAGGGGACGCCATTGGGGCCGGGCACAGTCCATGTGGTAGGAGAAAGGAGACACTTTTGTGTTTGTAAATTCCTCCTCCAAGATACCCAGGCTTGTGGAGCAAAGGCCTACAACCTGGTGGGGAATAAAGATTGCAGCATAAGCTCTTGGAGTTTCCCTCTTGTCACCCGGGCTGGAGTGCAATGGTATGATCTTGGCTCACTGCAACCTCCACCCACCGGGTTCAAGCCATTCTCCTGCCTCAGCCTCCCAAGTAGCTGGGATTACAGGCATGCACCACCATGCCCAGCTAATTTTGTATTTTTAGTAGAGATAGGGTTTTGCCATCTTGGATTCTTACCCGCCTTGGCCTCCCAAAGGATTACAGGCATTAGCCACCACGACTAGCCCCTAGGATCCTTCTTAGGTGACTAGACAGTTATTTTATTGCCAGTCTTTTCTCATCTGATGTGACAAAGTGTTCAAGGCTTATCTTATATATTTCTTGTACTAAGCTTTTAGTCAGCCATAAGTTTGCTGGGATTACACTCATAGACATTTATTTTATTCCATGAGTTATAATCCAGTACTATCCTTAGTTATTTTTCTTCCGCTTTGGCCATTGGGAACTCTTTCCAGTTGGCTCCCGTGCCTTTTCAACCTGCCCTCATCCTTTGGTGAGTTTGTTACTTTCTGACACTACAGGTTGTTAATCTAGGATTATCTTCTATTTTTTCTGCCATAGCCTTGGAGTCAGCCACTTGTGTAAAGGAGCACCAGTTCCTTTTACTGGGAATAGGATTTAGAAATCCAGATCTAGGCTTAGGTATGATTGCTCCTGGACCCTCTTAGTGCTAAGCCCTCTTCACTCATGGAACCGGCAGGTATATATGTATGTGTGGCAAGGTGGCCAGTTACTCTGGTGTATTTCCCTGTTTTTTCGAAGCTGCAGCTCCAGAACATGCTTTATACAAATCTTAAAACTGCAAATCATGTGTGTGAACAATGTCAATCTTCATAGTTTGCATTTCTTATCACTGAAGCTAAGAAAAAGAATTTTCTTCATTTCATCCTGTCTATATTTTACATACACATCCCGCATTGGCTGTAATATCTAATCATTCATCCAGTTGCAGTCAAAATGACCAAAGACCAGTGAAGGTTGATATGCCATTATTAAATTAGGATAAACAATATAAGTTTTACACTCTAACTTGAACTATAATTTTTAAAAAGGAATTTGAAAAATGATAGTTTTTAAAAATCCTTAAAACTGAATCTATGATTATATTTTATTAAATTTTTATAAGCTTTTGAGTTACAGTTAAACTTCAGATCGATTAAAACAGAGTTATTTTACTTAATGTAAAAGAAATTTTCTCTCATATTGCTATAAATTTCAAATGATGCTATGTTCTTGTCAGAGATTAAGAACTTGTATAACATATAATTCTATAATATGTAGTTGTATATGTCTATATTATGTGATTCTTTATTTTATTTGTTTGTTTATTAGAGATGGGAGTCTCACTAGGTTGCTTGGCTGGTCTCTAACTACTTGGCTCAAGCAATTCTCCCGCCTTGGCTTCCCAAAGTGCTGAAAATACAGGTGTGAGCCACCTTGCTTAGCCTATAATTAGTTATTATTGATATATTAGAAAGAAATTGATTTTTGTCTTGAAAATATAAGCCTTGCTGATATATCGCGGTTATTCTGGTAGTTTATATTATTTTGAGTTGGACTTACTTGTGATATGTTTATGTTTTTTCAAAATATTTATTTTTCTATATATATATATATTTTTTTTTTTTAATGGTGAAAAGATATACATATATTTAGAATTAGCCAGCTGGACTCAGTTTAGATGATCCCAATTTTGTTGGCAACATCCAAAGCATCGTAATCGGGAGCCAGTCGAACATATGCCTTCTTCTCTCCATCAGGCCGAATCAGGGTGTTGACCTTGGCCACATCAATGTCATAGAGCTTCTTCACAGCCTGTTTGATCTGGTGCTTGTTGGCTTTAACATCCACAATGAACACAAGTGTGTTATTGTCTTCTATCTTTTTCATGGCAGACTCAGTGGTCAGCGGAAACTTGATGATAGCATAGTGGTCCAGTTTGTTTCTCTTGGGGGCGCTCTTCTGAGGATATTTGGGCTGCCTCCGGAGTCGCAGTGTCTTGGGCCGCTGGAAGGTGGGTGACGTGCGGATCTGTTTTTTGTGGCTGTGGACACCTTTCAACACTGCCTTCTTGGCCTTTATTTTTTTTTATTTTTTATTTATTTATTTTTTTTGAGACGGAGTTTCGCTCTTGTTACCCAGGATGGAGTGCAATGGCGCGATCTCGGCTCACCGCAACCTCCGTCTCCTGGGTTCAGGCAATTCTCCTGCCTCAGCCTCCTGAGTCGCTGGGATTACAGGCACGCACCACCATGCCCAGCTAATTTTTTGTATTTTTAGTAGAGACGGGGTTTCACCATGTTGACCAGGATGGTCTCGATCTCTTGACCTCGTGATCCACCCGCCTCGGCCTCCCAAAGTGCTGGGATTACAGGCTTGAGCCACCACGCCCGGCCTTCTTGGCCTTTAAAGCGTTCGCTTTGGCTTCGGCTTTAAGAGGGGCAGGAGCTTCCTTCTTCGCTTTCGGCGCCATCTTGTGAAAAGGGTCCTATTTTTCTATATTTAACAACATTTTTCATAAGTTATTTTTAGGATGTCTATATACTGTTGACTTCCAAGATTACCAGAAATTTCTGTTTATCTAATAAAGCTAAGCTTATCAAATTTATTGCAAAAAGGGAGAACAACCTCTTGAAAGAATAACAGTAGTATCTTAAAATAAGAAACCAGGAAGGTTATTTATCAGGTTTTAGAACCACACTGGGTATTTTTTTTTTCTTTTTAAAAACATGCTCCACAGAAAAGTAGCGATGGGGTAATTATTTATTTATTTATTTATTTATTTATTTTTTGAGACGGTGTCTCATTCTGTTGCCAAGGCTGGAGTGCAGTGGCACTATCTCAGCTCACTGCAACCTCTGCCTCCTGGGTTCAAGCAATTCTCCTGCTTCAGCTGGGATTACAGGCACCTGCCACCATGCCTGGCTAATTTTTATATTTTTAGTAGAGACAGAGTTTCACCATCTTGGCCCAGCTGGTCCTAAACTCCTGGCCTCTTGATCCACCCACCTCAGCCTCCCAAAGTGCTGGGATTACAGGCATGAGCCACCGAGCCCAGTTGTTCTTTTCTTTTTGATTATTTGATGTACTAGCTTTAAATGACACTCTTTTCCATGGAATATTATAAAAATTGATCATACAACATTCATGGATGTTTGTCCCAAAATCAGCATTTTTACATGAATTACTTCTTTAGACATTCTCTCAACTTTTCTAGGAACTGGACTTTTATGTTTTAGTCCTATTTTTGTATCTGACATTGTGGTCGCTGTATGTTTCCAGTTCTCCATTTCCCGGCTGTAGATAATGACCAAAGAGGCTGTCGAGATGGGATTATGAGAAATATATTGTGAGAGTTCTTGTATATTTAAACTGTTGGCAATTTTTGTAGTCAAAAGATACTTTGGATACCAAATTCTTAATTTATATTACTTTTCTTGAGAACTTCATACCTATTGCTCCTTTATTTTCTGAGTTTAAATAAAACTAAGTATAAATCTAATGCCCACTGGATATTTCCATCCTTCAAAGTGACTTGATCTTTTTGCCTGGTAGGTAAAAAAAAGTTTTTGTTTTTTGAAGTCATAGATTTCTAATAGTATGTGCTTTTTTTTTTTTTTTTTATTTAAGAGACGGAGTTTAGCTCTTGTTACCCAGGCTGGAGTGCAATGGCACGATCTCGGCTCACCGCAACCTCCGCCTCCCGGGTTCAGGCAATTCTCCTGCCCCAGCCTCCTGAGTCGCTGGGATTACAGGCACGCACCACCATGCCCAGCTAATCATAGTGGCTTTTTAATATGCAATTCATGTGCTGATAATGTCCAGAAACTTTTCTGGAATAATAGCTTAAAACATTAATAGTCTCTAGTTCTTTTTGTTTTTATTTTGAATACCATATATTTGCATTTATAAATATTCTACTTCTTTTGCCGGTCTTCCATAGCTACTGTTTTCTGTTTTTTAAACGATATTTTACTGTGATAAATAAGACCTAGTATTTGATTGCACAACAAAGTGACTATAGTTAATAATAATTTAATGATACATTGTAAAATAAGAGAATATAATTGGATTTTTTGTAACACACAGGATAAATCCTTGAGGTGATGGATATTCTGTTTACCCTGAAGTGATTATTACACATTGTATGCCTGTATCAAAATATCTCATATACCCCAAAATATATATATCTACTATGTACCCACAAAAATTAAAATAATAATAAATGTTTTACTGTGAAATATAATAATTTTGCATGAATAGATGTACACTAATATGTAACTATACTACAGGTGTGTGCCACACCCCCTGCCCCAACCCCAGCTAGTTTTGTTTTTTTTTTTTTTTGAAATGGAGTCTTGCTCTGTTACCCAGGCTAGAGTACAGTGAGACGATCTCAGCTCACTGCAACGTCTGTCTCCCAGGTTCAAGTGATTCTCCTGCCTCAGCCTCCCAAGTAGCTGGGATTACAGGCGCCCACCACTGCACCTGGCTAATTTTTGTATTTTTAGTAGAGACGAGGTTTCACCATGTTGGCCAGGCTTCCTGACCTTGTGATCCACCTTCCTCGGCTTCCCAAAGTGCTGGGATTACAGGCATGAGCCACTGTGCCCAGCAACCCCAGCTAATCTTTTAAAAAAATTTTTTTGTAGAGACAGGGTCTTACATTTTGGCACAGGCTGATCTCAAACTCCTGGACTCAAGCAATCCTTCCACCTCAGCTTCCCAAAGTGCTAGGATTACAGGCATGAGCTACCATGCCCAGCCTGAATCGTTTGAACCCAGGAAGTGGAGATTGCAGTAAGCTGGGATTGTGCCACTGCACTC